CCAAAACCAACACAAAAAGTATCTCAGAGGTTTCTTTCTAGGATGTGGTGAAGCAAACATCCTGAAAGTTGATTGTGTTGATGGCTGCGCCCCTCTGTGTTGAACTGTGCACTTAAAATGGGCAGAGTTTGTGTTGTATAAACTGTACTTCTGTAAAGCTGTTCAAAGCAAGGAAGCAAATGCTAGGTTCATGAGGAACCCTGTAGTGTGACAGGTGCACTCACTGCCTCAGTTGTGGCCATGGTTTCACGGGTACATCCACGTGCCCAAACCTAGCAGATGAGGTGTTTTAGGCACGTGCAGTTTTACTGTATGTCAGCCACACCTCAATCAAGTTGCATTTAACAAAGCAGCAGAATTATCCAAATAAAAATGAACCCCTAATACTTTATTAAGCAATGCCCCTTTTGATGGGCATTTAGGTTTCAAATGTTATGCCACTGCAAATAATACTTCAATAAATATCTTTGTATAAAAAAAAGAAATACAGGTATTGTGTGTTCCCCTCCTCCCCGACTGGCAAGTCACAAAATTACCCATGGAGGGGCCCCGGGAAGTTGTCATTTTACTGAACAGTCCCCCTCAAATTCTTATAATCAGACATGTTTAGGGGAAACACTGGCTCAGACTTCACAGACTTGGCTTTTCAGGCGCTTATGTGTTGAGGGTCTACTTGGACAGCGAGTTTCAGGCTCTACAGACATTCTCTCCATGCCATATGCAGTCGAGAAGGCAGAGACCTGGGCATAAGAAGAACCCTGGCCCAGGTCACAGAATAAGAAGGAGCAGAGGGCTGATCTGCCTAAAAATGAACACCCATCTCTGCATTTTCTTCCCTTTTTTTTTTTGAGAGGGAGTTTGGCTCAGTGCAACCTCCACCATCAAGCGATTCTCCTACCTCAGCCTCCCGAGTAGCTGGGATTTACAGGCATGCGCTATCCCATTTAGCTAATTTTGTATTTTTAGTAGAGCTCGGGTTTTTCCAGGTTCGTCAGGCTGGTCTCGAACTCCCAACCTCTGGTGATCCCCCCGCCTCGGGCTCCCAAAGTGCAGGGAGAGCCACCGCGCCTGGCCAATCTCTGCATGTTCAAAAGCACACCTTGTTTTCCACCTCCTCTCCGGAAGCTGCACATTTTTGGAAAACTCTGGTTCTACGTGAGACAAGATGCAACTCCAAGAAATGGCCAGAAGAGGGTGCCAAGATTCTCTCCTCCCGGGGACCCGCCGGAATGACTCAGAGCTCCACAGGGCTGACTCTGTCGCTGCCACCTGTGTGCGGTGTGCGATCACGGTGGCGCCGCTGTGGATGAGCGCCACCCTGCGGCTGGCTGCACGACAGCGACGCGGCCCCTCCGTCCCCCAGTGGCCCGGACTCACCAGGGGTGGGTTTTCGATGACCAGTTCATAGGTCAGCCCCACAGACCCAAATCTCAGGATGTCCCCAGGGATGAGCTTCACAGCCACGTTCTGAATGTGGCACTCGTTGACAAACGTGCCGCTGCGCGAATTGAAGTCCTGGAGAACAAAGCTGCACTCCGCCTCGTTATATTCGATGAGCGCGTGGTGGTTGTCGATGTCAGGGGACTGCAAGGGAGGAGGAGGACAGTCGCAGCTGTGACAGCAAAAACGACATGGGCCCTAATGTTTCGAGCTGAGTGCTTTACCTGTGTTGCTGCGCGGGGCCATCATGACAATCCTCATTTTAAAAGGTGAACGCTGATGGATCAGAGAGGTTAAGCAACTTGCCCAAGGCCACACAGCCAGTGTATGAAGGAGCTGGGATATGTGCTCTGTGTGACAACAGACCTGGGGACAGGTACCCAAATTGTTGGGTGGGGAAATCAGGCTACACAAAGGCAAAGGGATCTTGGGAGAGTCTTACTGGGCAAATGTGGGGCCAGGGAATTGGCCATTTCTTTTCATTTTTTTATTTTACAAAAACCAAAATGGTCAAGGAATTGGCCATTTTCTATTTCCCTGACGCTGTATGGGTACTTAGGGTGGCACTCAGTCCCAGAACAGGAGGCAGAAATGGCCCAATCAAGATATAGAGAAAAGCACTAAAGAAGACGCTACTCTTACTTATAATCCCACAATCTCACCCCACCAACAGCAGTCATGATTAACATTGAGGTTCACATCCTTCCATGTTTTTTTTTTTTTTTTTTTTTTTTTTGATTTTTTTTTTTTTTTTTTTTTTTTTTTTTTGAGATGGAGTCTCGCTTTGTCTCCTGGGATGGAGTGCAGCGGCGTGATCTCAGCTCACTGCAACCTCTGCCTCCTGGGCTTAAGCGATTCTCCTGCCTCAGCCTCCCGAGTAGCTGAGAATACAGGTGTGCGCCACCACACCCAGCTAATTTTTATATTTTTAGTAGAGACGGGATTTCACCATGTTGGTCAGGCTAGTCTCGAACTCCTGACCTCATGATCTGCCTGCCTCAGCCTCCCAAAGTGCTGGGATTACAGGCATGAGCCACCACGCCTGGTCCTTTCTATGTTTTTTTTTTCTTTCTATGCTTACATTCTTTAAAACTTTTTTTAAACAAAATTAACCACACTCTACACATATAGCTTTATAACTACCTTTTAAAAACCCTGATGTATAATGAACATTTCCCATGCGATTAGTTATTTCTATTGCTTCTTAAAAGCTACTCAGGATTTGCCTAACCACAGATGACCTACTTTTCAAAAGGTGGCTTGCTGTGACCATATTTCCCCAAAGGAAAGGGGCCCCAGCCAGTGTGTCTGTGAATTGATGGCAGGGGACAGAAGCTCCTCTGTAATTTCACTTTAATAAGAGGACCGAGTGAAGCTCAGCACAAAGGAGGTGACTGCACATTTCCCTGGCCTCAGGGCCCTGGAGGGACGAAGGGAAATGCCCTGACTGTGAGCGGCAGGGCACACTGGTCTTCATGGCACTGTCAACCACACATCCACGCCAGCTTAAGACTTGGCAATTTTTTTCCAAGTTTCTCTTCTCAGTGTGCCCTGTCCAGCTTTTATATAAAAGTACTTGCACTTAGACATCTAAAGTTCCATAATATAATAACAACCAAGAACTTGTATTAATAATATACTACTAAGTATACTAGGATAACGATAAAACATATTACTTACACATTACATGCCAGGAAATTGCTAAGTGCTTCCTTGCATTGTCCTATTTCATCTTCACAACAATCTACAGATAATTTCCCATTTGGTAGATAAGGAAACTGAGGCACAGAATGAATGTACCCAAAGTCACCCAGCTTGACAAGTCACCTGGCTTGTACTCAGGTTTGCCTGATTCAAATGTCTGTGCTGTTACCCACTTTCCAAGTTTCCACCAAACACTTTGCCACCCAAACTATGGAAACACAGAAGAAGGCTGGAGTAGCCATACTAACTGCAGCCAAGGCAGATTTCAGAACAACAACAAAAAAACGGGATAAAGAGAAGCGTTAGGCTGGCTGCGGTGGCTCACGCCTGCAATCCCAGCACTTTGGGAGGCCGAGGTGGGTGGATTGCCTGAGGTCAGGAGTTTGAGACCAGCCTGGCCAATACAGTGAACCCCTGTCTCTACTAAAAATACAAAAATTAGCCAGGTGTGGTGGTGCACACTTGTAATCCCAGCTACTTGGGAGGCTGAGGAAGGAGAATTACTTGAACCCGGGAAGTGGAGGTTGCAGTGAGCTGCCAAGATCACACCATTGCATACCAGCCTGGGTGACAAGGGCCAAAAAAAAAAAAAAAGAGAGAGAGAGAGCCACTACATAGTGGTAAAGGGGCAGTTCTCCGAGAAGACGTAGCAATTCTTAATATGTATGCACCTAACAACAGAGTGCCAAAATACGCAAGGCAAAAATTGATAGAACTGCAAAGAAAAATAGATAAGCCCAATATGACAGCTGAAAATTCCACAACCCTGTCAGTAATTAGCAGAGCCAGAAGGCAGAAAATTAGTAAAGACATAGTTAAACCAAACAACACCATCAACCAAAAAGACTAATTGATGTTCATAGAACAGTCAGCCCAACAACAAGAAGATGCATGTTCTTCTCGGGCTGACAGAGAACACTCTCTAAGCTGTACCACGTGCTGAACCATGAAACACACCTCGGTGAATTTAAAAGAATAGAAATCATGTGGAGTATGCTCTCAGACCACAGTGGAAGTAAGCTTGAAATCAGTAACAGAAAGATAGGTGGAAAATCCCAAAACACTTGAAGATTAAACAACACACTTCTAAATAACACAAGGTGAAGGAAGAACTCTTAGGAGAAATTAAAAATCAACTAAATGAAAATGAAAATACAACTTCAAATTTGTGAGAAGCAGTGAAAGTGCTGCTTACAAGGAAATTTGTAGCCTTGAATACATACATAAGAAAAGAAGAAAGATCTGAAATCAATACTCAAAGCTTCTACCTTAGGAGACTAGAGGAAAAAGAGCAATATAAGCCTAACACAGACTCAGGCACTGAAATAAAAACTAGATCAGAAATGAATAAAATTGAAAACAATAGAGAGAATCAAAGAAAACAAAAGTTGGTTCTTTGGAAAGATCAATAGAACTGACAAACCTCTAGCACATAACCAAGAAAAAAAGAGAGAAGACACAAATTATTGATATCAGATATGAAAGAGAGGCCATCGCAGCTGATCCCATGGATAGATATATATTATATAAAATATATTGCATATAAATATTTATATCTATAATTTATCTATAATTTATATTATTTTATATATTATTTATAATGTTATATAAAGGAATATTATAAAAAGCTCTCTGTCCACAAATTTGATAACTTAGATAAAATGGACCAATTTCTTGAAAGATACAATCTACCCAAACTCATACAAGGAAGATGATCTGGGCCCTGATCTATTAAAGAATTTGAATTGATAGTTAATAACCTTCTAAAACAGAAAGCACCAGGCCCAGATGGGTTTGTGGGTGAATTCTCTCAAACATTTAAGGAAGAAATGATACCAGCTCCCTACAATCTCTTCCAGAAAATAGAACCGGGGGAATACTTCCTAACTCATTCTATGAGGCCAATATCACTTGAATATCCAATCAAGATAAAGACATTACAAGAAAGGAAAACTACA